AGAAAAGGTTTGCTTTCTCCTGGTAACCTTCGGGAATTCTTGTCGCATTCAGATTAACGTGGAAAATCGGGTACCCATTCTGTACCTGGCGCAAAACACACTTGCTGAGCTTTTCTGACTTCGCCCAAACTCCAATGTGCTTGGTGATGAGCTAAACAAAGGAATATATTAGCATTTGTATCTGGCAATCAAAACGAGAACATGCCATAAATTGTGCGCAGATTAAAACAAACTCCATTTTCATCAATCCATGTCCATCCATTATCACCAAGCAATTATGGCTTACTTGGGCACAAAGGGGCTGTTCGTCGTATTTATCTGCGTCACTCATCCTTTGCGTAACTGTTACAACTAGAATGTTTTAAAAGACGCGTTAGAAGAGGTGACAAAAGGAATAGTAGATGACGTTCTTTTCACTTTTAAAAATAAATTTATTGACACATGGATCCATCAACGTAAAAAAAAAACAAATTCTATGGAGATGCACTGTAACGAATTAATTTCCAAAGCTGACTGGTTATCAACAGTCACCGAAAATAACGGAAAGACGGAAGAACTTTTGTCAACTTTCCACTGGTACTTACCTGTGGAATTAAACCTGGTCATCTGAAACAGTTTTGCCCTGCATGATACCGTCAATAAAGCTAGTAGGAAAAACGTAAACATCGCTATTGAGGTCAGAACTGAGTTTACAGTTTATATAGCAACGTCAATGAGATTCTCAACCATTTGATTGGTTCAACACTGCAGCCAAGGTCGTCATTCAACTTTAGTGACTCTGAGACCCCCTTGATCGCTGATCAATCACAGTGCATGAATCATGTTCTAGCTATTGCGCACTGGCTTGACAACAAGTGAGAATTTGTTCCGGCTGCATATTACACCACAACGCCGTCACAACGAGCAGGATGGAACAACGGAAAACATTTGATTCTAATGAACGTGCAACTCAAACACCGTCCCCTCTCCAATTTCCAGTATGATTGACCCAACGATGAATGGCACTTTGTGTTCCAATAATCAATTCAATCATCTATGGCAGTTACTCTTCCCATTATATCCTCTACTGCGATTCGATTTCGAGTGATTTTATTATGTGTCCCGTCTAGATTTAAGTCGGAAACTAGCCATCGGGTGCACGAAACGTTTACCACTACAATCTATGGGTCTTGAAACTGAACTGAGATGTGCTCAACAAATGTAGGCAAGAGTCAGTTCCTTCCTCAAATGTAATACTCAAAAGCCAAGGTAATTCCTCGATCACAGCCCTCTCGTAGTCAGTAAAAGACAACACTGTGGCACCTTAAAAGCCAGTATTCTACAACCCTCACTGTTAACGACAATAAAGTCTGAACGCTTCAGTCCAAGCGAGAACAGAGATTATCAGTATCTCACTTGATCGTATTTGAATCGTAGTGATCCAGCATCCTGGGTGACAAATTGTCGATTCGTCCACTGTGGTTGAATCGTTCAGTTTAACTGCTTTTCCCTGGGGTGACCTCATATCATCAAAGTCCAAAGTAGGACCTTTCAGTTGTTACTTACCGATACAATGCTACTTTATTATCATCAGATGAATCCAGAATGCTGTAAAGGCGTTCCTATCAGAACGTTTAGACACACAGGCTCACAGCAGCCTACATAGCACAGCCCGCGTACACACTGACCCGTAACAAAATCATCGCCATGCGAATATGTATGTTGGGGATATGGCATGCGAGCTGTTATAACTGATTGC